ACCCTGTTCATGATGTATAACTGAGGTCTTGGTGGGTGGAAGGACACTTTCCAACCTCCCAGGTCTGCCACCCAGAATCTTTGGGGGAACCCTACAGGACACATTCACGTCTCTGACATACGTTCCCACAACATGCTATGACCAGAAAACTGCCACATCATGTTCTTACGGGGGTAAAAACTACTGGATAGCTCTTTCCAAAGGGGATTCTGTTGGGGCCCAGTTCCCTGCCCTCAACAATTGTTTCTGCTTCACCCAAACCACTCACCTAGGCTATAGTGATGGGGGAGGACTCCAGGACAAAATACATCAGACCCCTAACCGTGATGGTGTACAGGGTACTAACATTAATTAATAAAGTACATGTATTTCACAGGGCCTTAACCTTTAGCATAGTAGGGCTACAGCGTTTAGATTAGAAGGAACACAGCCCTTAGGTCAGACTGTAGCTTAGGAGGATCTTTATCTTAGTAGGACAACAGTCTTTAGCTGTTAGAAGGGCCAAAGCCCTTTAGTTTAGGCTGTAGCATAGTAGGGCCACAGTCCTGTAAGGCTAAAGCCTTGTAGTTTGAGGAATAACCTAACCTTTTAAATAACCTAACCTAAAAAGTCTCTGTTGGGGATATGAGAATTGGAACAGCATAAGTGCTTGCTCTAAGGGCCCCTTGGTGCAGCAAAACCTAATTATGGGAAATATGTGTACTGAAAGCTTCAAGGCTACTCTGCCAGTTAGTGGTGGTTCCACATTTCACCTTCAACAGCTTCTCTAAGTTTCCTAGGGAACTAAGTGTTGCCATACGATTATCTCATTGGTTCTTTTGTATGTCACATATCTTAGTTTTATGACTCCTTTGATGGTAAATTGCTTAAACTATTTTTAAGTTGCACCTGCTTTAGTGAAAATTGTTTCATAGCCAGTTTGTTTATGTTTTCACTATGACTGATTAACCACCTGTGTTCTCTTCTGTAACTTTTAGCCTGGACAATAAAAAACCGAGAAAAGCCCTGATTCAGGGCCATTCCCCAGGAATTCCTTCTCTCTTGATGAAGTTGTCTCCTAGGATTTAACCCCTTCTGGGCCTCTCACTGCTCTGGAGAAATGGGCTTTGAGTAATCCTTTGCATCTCTGTCTCTGTCACCCCAAGGGAGAGGTGACATGATGGGACTTATCCTTCTTCTTGGTCCCTGCCTCTTTCATCGTCTCTCTAATTTTTTACAGGAATGCATGCAGGCTTTCACCAACCAAAAGGTCATCAAATTGTTCCTGGGAGGAGGAGATCAGCCCCTGAGAACCGTCGACCCCTCCCCAGAGGAATACAGCCTCCCCACTCAAAACCAGTACCCCAAAACCTAATTGTTTTATTTTTTTCATACCTTTGCCCATCTCCAGCAGGAAGTAGCTTCAGAAGAATGAGACCTTTGCCCCTTTTCCCTTCTTCCTATACTTAAAAGGCAAGAATGATGGATCTTGGACCTGACTGGCGCCATTTTACGCACACTCAGCACAAAATGGCCACCAGCCTTTCCCTTATGAGAAACCTCGTGGTTTCTGAGAAATAGAAACTCCACCACACCAGCACCAAGCCCCTCCCTGATTACGTCAGCCTTCCTTACAACCTATATAAGCCCTCCCACCCCTGCGCCGGTTGCTGCCCTCCGTTTTGAGTGCAGCCCAACAGATTCTTTTCCTTTAATAAAACTTGATCAGTACCTGGCATTTCGGCTCACTTTCTTTCAATCAGCTCTTTAATAAAGTACTTAGAAACACATGCATTCATCGCAAAGTGTCCTGGTCTAATTAATCACCCCACTCTTGTGGAGTATTTTACCACAAATTGAGGTAGGTTTTTCCCAAAGCAACCCCTCCTCTAAGTCACCCTATACTAGCCTGGAGGCCCAACCTCAGAAGCTACTGGACTAGTTGGCCAGGGACCCAAGTCATGAGGGAAGCCGACGCCCAAGGGTGGGGTAGATGGCCAAGAGTGGATGCTTATTCCTCATCGACAGCCTCATTCTCTTCTAGAGTGCTGTGACCTCCCAGCAGTGCCGGCTGGAGTTGTTCTCGGTTTCTCCACATTCTTTTTTTTTTTTTTTGTCTTTTTCCGTGTCCGGCAACGGATCGCAACCCTCAGTG